GAGGAGGAGGAGGAGGAGGAGGAGGAGGAGGAGGAGGAAGAGGAGGAGGAGGACGAGGAGGACGAGGAGGAGGAGGAGGTTTAACGACCCCCGCGTTATGATGTTCCAACCTACTTTAGCCTGGACCACCAGACAGAATTTCGAGCACCAGAAATCAGTACCGAAACCCGAGGGTTTTCACGTGCCGGGCCCTGGGAGACACTCGTCCGACGCTGTTCCGACACCCTTTCGACACCTTTCCGGGTGCTCGAAATTGTTTCTGGGATGTGGTCCTCAAGCGCGATGGGAGCAGCATGATCCCCGCGGTGTCAGAAATCAACGCCAAAGTCGGCACGACGCGAACCCAACTCTGGACGCCCGAAATGGGTACGGGAAGAATGGGTACGATGCCCAACAGCAGTTCCTGTTCATTTTGGACAGGACTCGCTGTCCGCGCCGCCACGGCCTGTGTCCATTTGAGGCAGAAGGCCGCTTGCCCAACAGCGGCCGCTGTTGGTCTGGGTCAGCATTTGTTGTTGGGCATTGTACCCATTCTTTCCGTACCCATTTCCGGCGTCCAAACCAACGTACCGTCGGGGCGTTGAAGAAGGAACCCTTTTCGTTGGGGAGGGGCTCGGTGTTCCTCGATTGCTGCACAGTTTGCCTTGGGTTTTCCTGAGGCTTCCCATGTGGAATCGAAGTTTAACTTATGAGGAAAAAGGGGCCTCGTTCCTTATTTAGGGTTCCTTAGGTCGACGCCCCGACTGTACGCCTCTGGAGGCCTCCGCGCGGAGCCCTCGGAGGCCGCCGCTGGGCGCCCCACCTCCTTCCCTGGAGGCGCGCTCGGCGCGCCCGGGGGCGGCGCGCTCCGGCGCCGCCAGAGGGGGGCCCCCCGTCAGGAGGGGAAAAAACACACAGACACAATGAATCGTCGACTCCCCAGAAAATATGGGAAAATATGGGGAGTGGGGGGGGAAGACAGACACCCCGAAAATATGGGACAATATGGGGGATCTTTTTCTTTGTGTATTTTTTGTGTGTGTCCTGGGGCCCCTTCACCCCGGGCGCCGGCCCGAGTAAGAAATCCGCGCGGACCTCCGAAAGCGGACGCGTATGTCTATAGGTCGGGACTGTCCCTCTACAGGGGGGAGTATTCAAAAAGAGTCCAAAGAGAGTCCGGGGACGATCTTTTGACTATTTCTGTTGAGCATTCGGGGGTCTTGTGTTTCATTGTTTTTCATTTTTCGTTCAAAATCCACCTATTGGGGGGACATGCCCGACATACGAGTATGTCATTGTTCGCTCCCTCAGTGGATTGGGGAGCGAACTCATGCGATCGCAAGCACGGATCAAGGGGGCGTGGACTAGCGACGGGTCCCACTTCCACGGGAAGTCGCGGATGTCCGCCGCCGAGGGAGGCGGCACCGGCCGCATCTTGGCGAGGGCGCCTCTCCCGCTCCATGGAGTTGGCGACCGCGCGCCAGATCCATGGATCGCTACTCCATGTTGTTTGCGCGCCCCCGACGAACAATGACATGAGAATCCAAACTCGGAGGTCCGAGTTTTTGTGTTGATGTCATGGTCCGTTCCCCAGGTGAGGGCGCTTCGGGGATGTGTTCCGAACAGCGGCAGCATCGGCTGCGGCTAGAATCAGGAGGGGAAAAACACAGACACAATCAGTCGTCCATTCCCAGGAAAATATGGGAAAATATGGGAAATGGGGGGGAAGACAGAAACCCAGAAAATATAAGAAAAGATGGGGAATCTTTTTATCTGTGTGTATCTATTTGTGTGTCCTGGGGCCCCTTCATAGAAGAAAAGTCTGTCTCCCCGCGAGTGGACACGGGTGCAGGGCCGCTGGGCTCCGACCTACGGATGCAGGTTCGCGTCGTGTCGACCGGCGGCGACCCAGCCGCGGGCGTTCAAGGTTGAATGACAAACCAACAACACACCCATACCCATAGGGGGGTCGGAGAGGGCTATGGGTGCGTGTTGTCGGATGGGGTTCCCCGCTCGAACGGGAGCGTTCCCCAGGGTCCGACAACCCGCACCCTATACCCATAGCCAGTCCTCCTCTCAACGACCCCCCTATGGGTATGGGTGTGTGTGTGTGTGTTGCTCGTTCGTCATTGAACTATTTGGAACGATCGAGCGATCCACAGTCGCCGATCGTTCAAGATGGAACGATCCACGCGGAGTCGGAGACCAACGCCGGGGTCGTCACGGCACGAACCTGACGTGCGGCCTGCGTGGGGCACCCCCCACGAGCCGTGCGGGTGATGGGGGAGGCGGTCAGGGGCAGCGCTGTGGGGAGGGGGGGATGCCGAAGAAGAACACGGCACAACCATAACATTTCGGGGCTCCGCATGGGGCTCAGGGGAGGGAACATGTCTGCACTGGCCAGGTGGGACCCTTCACCGGGGGTGGAACCCTTCACCGGCTGACGGTCTGGCCGGGCGGCCAGACGCACTCGCCTCGCTGGTGCGCGCACGCTTGTTCATTGCAGGATCCCGTGGGAGCCCCAGGGAGGCTCGACGGGACGCTGGATCTTTAGGAAAGCTCAGGCTGGATTCCTTGGAAACCTTAGGCTGGATCCTTGGGCGAACGTGGGACTCGATAGGAAAGTGGATCCCTGGGAAAACGTCAGACTCGATCGGAGGCTGGATCGCTTGCAAAACCTAGGACTCAATAGGAAGGTGGATCCCTAGGAGAACGCAAAACTCGATACGAGGCCGGATCGCTTGGAAAACATTGGGTTCCGTAGGAGACTGAATCCCTTGGAAAAAGTTGAACTCGATAGGGGGCTGGATCCGTGGCAAAACGTAGGACTCGATAGAAAGCTGCATCTCTCGGAAAACGTTGGACTCGATAGGAGGCTGGAATCCCTGTGAAACCGCATGACTCCCTGGGGAAACGTAGGGATAGGAGGCTGGATGCCTTTGAAAACGTAGGACTCGATAGGAGGTTGGATCCTTTGAACACGTAGGACTCGACACGAGGCTGGACTCCTTGGGAAACGTATGACTCGATTGGGGGCTGGAATCCATTGGAGAACGTCCGACTCGGTCGGAGGCTGAAATTTTGGGGAAATGTCGGAAAACATAGATATAATATAAAGAGTCTGGATCACTTTAAAAACGCATAACTCGATAGGAGGAGGCTGGATATCTGGGAAAACGCCAGACTCGATAGGAGGCTGGCTCCCCTGAAACACGTAGGGCTCGATAGGAGGCTGGATCCCTCGGAGAACGTATGTCTCGATAGGAGGCTGGATCTTTTGGAAAACGTATGACTCGGTAGGAGGCTGGATCTCGTGGAAACCATAAGCTGACTCCCTTGGGGAATGTAGGACTCTATAGGAGGCGGTATCCCATGGAAAACGTAGGACTCGATAGGAGGTTGGATCCTCTGAAATCCGTAGGACTCGATAGGGGGCTGGATCCCTTGGAAAACTTAACCCTCGATAGGAGGCTGGATCCCCTGGAAATCATGAGCTGAATATGTTGGGGAAACGCAGGACTCGATAGGAGGCGGGATCCATTGGAAAACAGAGGACTCGATCGTTTGTCGGATGCATTGGAAACGCAGGACTCGATAGGAGGCTGGATCTCTTGGAAGGCGTAGGACTCTGTCGGAGGCTGGATCCCTTAGAGAACGTATGACTCGATAGGAGGCTGGATCCTTTGGAAACCATTGGACTCGATCTCAAGCAGTGGCGAAGCGTCCCGGCTCGCCTATAGACCCACCAAAGAATGTTCTAATAACATATTGTGGTTTGCACGAACTGTTTTTAGAACATTGCTGGCTGTGACTGTCTTGTTTTAACACGTCGGGAATATGTTATAAGAACAGCGTTTTTGTTATGATAACACTTTTGGGTTCGAAGAACAATTCGTGGTAGGCCCATAGGAATGCCGGGGCGGTCGGCCCCTGCTCAATCCACCGAAATGGGCCCGGAACCAATAACCAGGAACCCGGGAACCTGGAACCGGGAACCCAGGAACCCAACCGGCCACGGCGGGGAATTTTCGCCAAATCTTTCGATTTCCGCTAGGACCCCTTCAGTGCAAGAACTGATTGGGGAAAGACGTAGCCTGTGAAACGCACAATCAGCCGGTGAACAGATCAGCCGGTGAAGGGTCCGATGTGGCAGGTGGGTCCCACCAGGCCAGTGGAGGGACCAGCGTTCCAGGGGTGCCCAGATCGTTCCCACCAGCCGCCGGAGAGCTGAATTACTTCCGTAGCCATTTTGGCTCAAGCCATTTTGGCTCAAGTGCATGTTTCGGCACATGCCGCGGTGCCTTGTTTTTCCGGATGCTGGACATCGGTCGAGGGTCTCGAGAAGGCGCTATTTCCCTCGAAGCGTCGATCAAGAACTGCGGCCGGACAAAACAATGGAGCGCAGCACTGCGGTTGCTCCGCGAAGGAATTCGATCGGGTTCGCAACTTGTCCCAAGCCACTATGTTGCGACTGTCAGCGCATGCAGAAACGGCGGGCACTGGCAACACGCGCTGTCAGTACTGAGCGAGATGTGGGAGGCGAAGTTGGAGCCCGACGTCATCTCTACTACATTGCAGGGCCCAGTGCGTGCCAGAATGGCGCAGGCTCCAATGCACCAAAACCGCCCCGGGCTGGCCCCGGGCCGCCCCGGGCCGCCCAGGCAGGCTCCAGGACATGTCGAGAGGGCCCCCAGAAGCCCCCAAGACGGCCCCGGAGAGCCCCGGCACGCTTAAAGATGGGCCCAAGACGCCCGAGATTCGCCCCAGACGGCCCAAGAGGCGTCCAAGACGCCCGAAGAGGCTCCCAAGAGGCCTCCCAAGAGGGCCCCGAGCGACAGAAATCGTCGATTTCTATTGTGTTTTTCGATGTTTTCGGCCTCCTCGCCTCTTCGGCTTCCCGACGCTCCAAGACGGCCCAAGAAGTCCCCCCGACCGCTCCAAGACGGCCGAAGAGGACCCCAAGAGAGCCCCAAGACGGGCCAGGAGGGCCCCAGGACGGTCCCAAGACGCCCCAGGACGGCCCCAGGACGGCCCAGGAGGCGCCCAAGACGGCCCAATAGGCACCCAAGACGGCCCCAGGAGCGGCCCAAGACGGCCCAAGACAGCCCAAGAGGCGCCGAGGCGGGCCTCAGACGGCCCCAAGACGGCCCAAGAGGCACCCAAGACGGCCCGAGAGGGCCCTAAGAGCCCCCCCGGGAGGCCCAAAAGAAGGCCGAAGAGGCTCCGAAACGGCCCCCACGAAGCCCTCAGTGGCTTCAGAATTCCCTCCAGGAGCGGGGGAGCGGACGAGAGGCGACAGGCACGCCGCGCTTGCCCAGAGACCCCTCGCCACGTCGAGCTGATGTCGTGGACGGAGTCCACAGGTCTGCCCTAGTCAGCTACAGCGTTGGGATCAGCGCGTGCGAGAAGGGCGAGCAGTGGCAGCGGGCCCTGGCGCTGCTGAGCGAGATGTGGGAGGCGAAGCTGGAGCCCGACGTCATCTAACCTACAATACCGGGCATTGCGCGTGCGAGAAGGGCCATTGGGGGCACCCTCGCCGGGCTGGGGGGCGGCACCTCGGCGGCTCCGCTCGTGGGGACGGTCCACGCGGGCCCCCAGAGAGCCCACGGTGGCTTCCAGGGAGCCCCAAGAGAGCCCAAGACGGCCCAAGAGGCCTCCACGACGGCCCAAGAGACGCCCAAGTGGCGTCCCAGGAGGGCCCCAAGAGGTCAAAATCATACATATTCAGAAGGAAAGCGTACATTTCGAGCATGTGCGGCTTTTCGGCTTTCATGGCGCTGAAGACGGTCCAAGAGGCCCCCAAGACGGCCCAAGAGGCTCCAACCCAAAACGGCCCAAGAGGGCGCCAAGACGGCCCAAGACGCGCCCAAGACGGCCCAAGAGGGCCTCAAGACGGCCCCAAGAGGGGGACCTTGAACTGAAAATCCCAGCCTTCCGCCCCAAGAGGCCCCCACCCAAGAGGCCCCGAAGAGGCACCAAGAGGCCCCCTAGAGGCCCAAAATAGGCCCAAAGATGCCCCCAAACGGCCCCCGAGAGGCCCGCGAGAAGCCTCCCCAGAGGGCCAACTGTGGAACAACCCCCCCATCTGGCCCAGCACGGCGGCCAAGGTTTCCGAAATCGGCCCACCTTGGCCCGGATGGACTCCCAAGAAGCCCTGAAATTTCCTATTTCATTGAAGCCCCGTCGGATTGGAAAAACACACCCCACTCCTCTTGGGACACCTCTCGCATCGTACCTCACGCCTCCTGAGATACGCGGCGTGCGAGAGAGGCCTCAGAAAATAGCGTCCCTGGGTGCCGCGGGGGCGCCCGGACGAATTTTTGGCAAGCCCTCCCGCGGAAGAGGTGTCCCATGAGGTGCGGGGTATTGTTTTTTATTCACAGGTGGACTCCCTCCTCTCTTGGAACCGTCTTGGGGCTCCTTTGGAGCTTTCTGGGGGCCCTCTTGGGGCCATCTCCCCAAGAGGGCCTACAACCTGTCACGAAGACGGCCCTTTTTCGTGACAAGTTGTTGGGCCTTTGGGGCCCTCTTGGGGCAGTCTTGGGTCCTCCTGAGGGGGTCCTATGGGGGCTGAGGGCCCCCTGAGAGCTTTAGCCGACTTGCCCACGCGTCTGGAGCTCTTGGGGGCTCACTTGGGGCCCTCTTGGGGCCCTCTGGAACAGTCTTGGGGCCCCTTTGGAGCTTTCTTGGGGCCCTCTTGGGGCCATCTTGGGCTGGAAGGGGATGGCCGAAAAACCTTTCGGACCGAGCCGCCAACGCTCCGGAACGCTTTTTCTGGGACTACTCCCGCACGGCGCGTGTTCCAGGAGGCGCGGGGTATGGTTTCCCATACAGGTTACACTCCCTTCCTCGACCTCCTTCTCCTCGTTGCCCACGGTTCCCTCTGTGCAGTGGTTGCCGTCGTTTGCCAGTCACGTCGCTCCACCCACCTCTCGGGTTACTGCCGATGCTGCCATATCCGATGCTGCTGCAAACGATGCTCTCGGCGCCGACAGGATCATCGAGCACCCAGCTCGCCCTGAAGCACTACGCAGCAGCATGCGCCCTCCCAATACATTAGCAATCGTGGACGGTACTCCACAGGTCAGCCCTAGTCAGCTACAACGCTGGGATCAGCGCGTGCGAGAAGGGCGAGCAGTGGCAGCGGGCCCTGGCGTTGCTGAGCGAGATGTGGGAGGCGAAGCTGGAGCCCAATGCCATCAGCTACAGTGCTGGAATCAGCGCGTGCACGAAGGGCGAGCAGTGGCAGCGGGCCCTGGTTCTGCTGAGCGAGATGTGGGAGGCGAAGCTGGAGCCCAATGCCATCAGCTACAGTGCTGGGATCAGCGCGTGCGCGAAGGGCGAGCAGTGGCAGCGGGCCCTGGCGCTGCTGAGCGAGATGTGGGAGGCGAAGCTGGAGCCCGACGTCATCTCTACTACATTGCAGGGCCCAGTGCGTGCCAGAAGGGCGCAGGCCCCAATGCACCGAAACCGCCCCGGGCTGGCCCCGGGCCGCCCCGGGCCGCCCAGGCAGGCCCCAGGACATGGCCAGAGGGCCCCAGAAGCCCCCAAGACGGCCCCAGAGAGCCCTGGCACGCTTAAAGATGGGCCCAAGACGCCCGAGATTCGTCCCAGGCGGCCCAAGAGGCGTCCAAGACGCCCGAAGAGGCCTCCCAAGAGGCCTCCCAAGAGGGTCCCGAGCGACAGAAATCGACGATTTCTATTGTGTTTTTCGATGTTTTCGGCCTCCTCGCCTCGTCGGCTTCCCGACGCTCCAAGACGGCCCAAGAAGCCCCCCCGACCGCTCCAAGACGGCCGAAGAGGACCCCAAGAGAGCCCCAAGACGGGCCAGGAGGGCCCCCAGACGGTCCCAAGACGCCCCAGGACGGCCCCAGGACGGCCCAGGAGGCGCCCAAGACGGCCCAAGAGGCACCCAAGACGACCCCAGGAGCGGCCCAAGACGGCCCACGACAGCCCAAGAGGCGCCGAGGCGGGTCTCAGACGGCCCCAAGACGGCCCAAGAGGCACCCAAGACGGCCCGAGAGGGCCCTAAGAGCCCCCCCGGGAGGCCCAAACGAAGGCCGAAGAGGCTCCGAAACGGCCCCCACTCGCCGCGAGGGTGCCAACACGGCCCCAAACCGGCCCAGGACGGCCCAAGGCGCGCTCAAGACGGCCCAAGACGATTCCAAGACGGTCCCAGGAGGGTGCGCCCAGGACGGCCCAAGGACGCGCCCGTTCGGGGCCTCAAGACGGGCCAAGATGGCAAGAGAGTCCCAGCTGGCAAAAATCGTTAATTTTCCATTGTTTACTGTTACACCCTTTGCGTTTCCCGCCGTTTCGGCGGTCCGATGCACCAAGAGGCCCCAGAAAGTCCCAGGAGGGTCCGAGGAACCGCCCAGGAAGGCCCCAAGACGGGCCAAGACGGACCCAGCACAACCCAAGGCGCGCTGCGACGGCTCAAGACGGCTCCAAGACAGCCCCAAGAGGGTGCCAACACGGCCCCTGCTGGGCCCAGGACGGCCCAAGGAGGCGCACAGGAGGGGCCCAAGACGACTCCAAGGCGGCCTCCTCACGGTCCCAGACGGCTCCAAGACAGCCCCACGAGGACCCCGATGGGCCCAGGACGGCCTACGGACGCGCCCATGAGGGGCCCACGACGAACCAAGACGGCCCCATCAGGGCAAACGGCGCCCTCAAGACGGGCCTAGACGGCTCCAAGACGGCCCTTTGAGGGAGCCAACGCGGCCCCACACCCTTCGGGCGCACACTTGGGGGGGCTGGGAGCTTGCGACAAGTCTCCCACATTCATTGTCCTGCCCCATTCTGTTCGCCTGGAGGCCTCCTCCAACCCTGTGGGCGAACAAGAGGAATCCCAGCGGGACGCCAACCCTGGGGCCCGTGGGCCCCGCGCCGCTTGGGCAGAAGACGAACGCCGGGTCTGACAGGCCAGCTACCGCCCCCCTTTGCCCGACATGCTGTGCCATTCTGTTCCCCCAGGGGCCTTGGCAAACTCTTCGGGCCAAGCAGACCGGACCCCTGGGACAGCAGCCAATTGATATGACCCTGGGACCTCTCCGCATTCTTCGGACGAGCATCTGGGGGGCCCAGGAGATTCGGACATGTCTTCCCCATTCCTTGCCCTGTCCCGTTCTGTTCGCCCGAAGGCCTCCACAGACCCTCTGGGCGAACAGAATGGGACATGGCGAACAAACCCTCCCGTTGGCGGTGATGCGACTGGATCGCACCATCAAGGCGCGCCCGGAGGTGATGGCCGACCCAACAGCGGTTTCTCTTAAGAGTTCACTGGATTTCAAATTTTCTTGAAGCTCTCTTGGGCCCTCCCTGTAGATCCTCGCGAGCCTCCCCGGCGCTTTCGGTGGCTTTCCCCGATGGTCTCCCGAGCCCTTCCCCAAGCGCTCCTGAGCCGCCTCAGATGGGCTTCGACTTCGACGCACATTCCCGAGAGACTTCGAAACTGTCCTCAATAGGAGGGGGGTGAACGAGCAGTGCGCTGGGCCAAGCTGCTGGAGCGCTGCAAGAGCTCGGACACGAAGGCGCGGTCTCGCTGCCGCCGCCCGAGCCGCCGCCGTGTTTGTAGATTTTCGGTACAATCTGCGCCGTTCCTCCGAGAACCATTCCAGAAAGATGTCGTGGACGGAGTCCACGGGTCAGCCCTAGTCAGCTACAACGCTGGGATCAGCGCGTGTGCGAAGGGCGAGCAGTGGCAGCGGGCCCTGGCGCTGCTGAGCGAGATGTGGGAGGCGAAGCTGGAGCCCAATGCCATCAGCTATAGTGCTGGCATCAGCGCGTGCGAGAAGGGCGAGCAGTGGCAGCGGGCCCTGGTTCTGCTGAGCGAGATGAGGGAGGCGAAGCTGGTGCCCACTGTCATCAGCTACAGCGCTGGGATCAGCGCGTGCGCGAAGGGCGAGCAGTGGCAGCGGGCCCTGGCGCTGCTGAGCGAGATGAGGGAGGCGAAGCTGGAGCCCAACGCCATCAGCTATAATGCTGGGATCAGCGCGTGCGAGAAGGGCGAGCAGTGGCAGCGGGCCCTGGCGCTGCTGAGCGAGATGAGGGAGGCGAAGCTGGAGCCCAATGCCATCAGCTACATTGCTGGGATCAGCTCGTGCGCGAAGGGCGAGCAGTGGCAGCGGGCCCTGGCGCTGCTGAGCGAGATGAGGGAGGCGAAGCTGGAGCCCAATGCCATCAGCTACAGTGCTGGGATCAGTGCGTGCGCGAAGGGCGAGCAGTGGCAGCGGGCCCTGGCGTTGCTGATCGAGATGAGGGAGGCGAAGCTGGAGCCCAACGCCATCAGCTATAATTTTGGGATCAGCGCGTGCGCGAAGGGCGAGCAGTGGCAGCGGGCCCTGGCGCTGCTGCGCGAGATGAGGGAGGCGAAGCTGGAGCCCAATGTCATCCCTCCCAACATGCAGCGTTCACCGCTCGCCAAAGGGTCGAGCAGTGGCAGTTGACTGGCCCCCTCCGGCGGCCGCTGGCGCGGCCCAGGGACCCCGGCGCGCTTCCAAGATGGCTTAAGGGCGCTCCGAGCCGCCCCAGAAAGAGCGCTAGGAGAGCCCGAACCAGGAAAAATGGACCCAATCCTCGGGGACAACGTGCATTTCGGGAGTCCCCGTGCTTTTCGTCTTCGAAGCGTCGAAGACGGCCACAAAGGCCCTCAAGATCGTCCCAAGACGCCTCAGGAGGCTGAGGGCCCCAAGACGGTTCAAGACTGCGCCAGGACGGCTCCTCAGGCGCCCATGGCGGCCCCAAGAGGGGGCCAGGACAAGGTGGGAGCGCTCCCGAGAAGCCCCAAGAGGGGGCCAGGAGGGCCCCGACAAGGCCCCATGACGCATGTACTTGGGTGCCCCTCTCGCAAGCCTAAGACTCATATCAAGTAAATGCGATTTGGGGCCCTCGTGGGGCCCCCATGGGGCGCTCTTGCGGTTCTCTTGAGGCCTTCGGGCTCCTCCAAGACAGGGCCGGGCGCATTCGGCCACAGAAAGGCCTCTCGTGGCAGAAGGGTGGGCCCGCGCGCGGCGGCGTCCTGGAGCCCTCTTGGAGCCCCCTTGGAGCCCTCCGGGGGCCCTCTTCCTGCCCTCCTGGCGCGACAGCCCCAAGACGGTCCCGACACTGCCCCAGAGGCGCTCAAGACGGCCCCGAAAGGCCGCGCGGCCCGCGGCACGCAGCGCAATAGCAAGCACGGGTATACACCAGTCAGCTACAGCGCTGGGATCAGCGCGTGCGAGAAGGGCGGGCAGTGGCAGCGGGCGCTGGCGCTGCTGAGCGAGATGAGGGAGGCGAAGCTGGAGCCCAACGTCGTCAGCTACAGCGGTGGCGTCAGCGCGTGCGAGAAGGATGGGCAGTGGCAGCGGGCCCTGGCGCTGCTGAGCGAGATGAGGGAGGTGAAGCTGGAGCCCAACGTTATCAGCTACAATGCTGGGATCAGCGCGTGCGAGAAAGGCGAGCAGTGGCAGCGGGCGCTGGCGCTGTTGAGTGAGATGCGGGAGGTGAAGCTCGAGCCTGACGGCATCAGCTACAGCGCTGGAGCCAACGCGTGCGTGACGGGTGGGAAGTGGCAGCTGGCGCTGAGCGTGCTCAGAGCCATGCGTTTGAGAAGGTTGAACGTCGACTTCTCTGTCTACGGAATTAGCGCCAGCATGTGCGAGCAAGGCGGGCAATGGAGTCAAGTGCTGTCTTTATTCAGGGAAGTGCTTGTCCTAGTTACGGGGGCATGATACAATGCATGCCGTGTTCGACACGTTTGTTTGTTCAGTTGGATCGTTGGGACCAGCGCGTGCGAGAAGGACGAGCAATGGCCGATGGCGTTGGCGCAAGCTGGAGCCTGAAACCGAACGTCATTAGCTGCTCGCCAACGGTGTGCGAGTCCCAGGTTCAGCACGCCGTGGATTTGATCCACGGGTTCACACTTGTTGGCTATAATGCTGGGACCAGCGCGAGCGAGAAGGGCGCTCAATGGCAGCGGGCCCTGGCGCTGCTGAGCGAGATGTGGGAGGCGAAGCTGGAGCCCGACGTCATCTTCTATCCTACACTGCAGCGTTCACGGCTCCCGCCCCAGATCGACGCGGCACGCCCCGCGGACGGCTCCAGGACGGCCCCAGACGCTCTCAAGCCGCCCCCTGAGGCTCCCCTCAAAGGGCCCCCACTAGCCAACACATCGCCCCATTCCTTTCGGAAAATGTGCATTTTTGGCAGACTCGTTATTGGGTGGGCAGAGCGTCCAAGATGGCTGGATGAGCCTCCAAGACCGCTCCAACTCTACGGCCCAAGAGGGCCCCAAGACGCCCCAGGGAGCCCCAGGATAGCCCAAGACGGACCCCGGAGGGCACTAAAAGGCTCCCAGGAAAACGCCGAGAGGGCCACAGGATGCCCCCAAGAGAGCCCAAGACGGCCCCACGAGGGCCCGGAGACAGCCCGAGCCTTCAAAACGGCCCACGAGAGCCCCAGGACGGCTCCAGAGCGCCCTGCGACGGCCCAAAAGAGCTCCAAACGCAGAGAGTCCCAAGTGGGCCGCCACGGGAGGCGCCGCCAGGACGGCCCAAGTCACCTTGCCGATTGCCGAGAGGTCGACGCCGTCGTCGTCGCCCGAGAACCACCCAAGAGGTCCCCAAAAACTTTCCTAGAGGCCTGCGCAAAGTGAGAATCGTAACAGGCGTTTGAAGGAATGGAATTTGAAGAGGCCGCGACAACCGCTGAAGGGTCTAAATCCGCCGTCGCCGTCGCCGTCGCCGTCGCCGTCGCCGTCGTCGTCGTCGTCGTCGTCGTCGCCGTCGCCGTCGTCGTCGTCTTCGTCGTCGTCGTCGTCGTCGTCGTCGCCGCCGCCGCCGTCGCCGTCGCCGTCGCCGTCGCCGTCGCCGTCGCCGCCGTCGCCGTCTTCGTCGTGGTCGTCGTCGTCGTCGTCGTCGTCGTCGTCGTCGTCGGGCGTCGCCGCCGTCTTCCGAGGCCTTCAGCAAGCTGCCACGAGAACCGACACGAGCCCCGAGAACCACCCGAGAGGTTTCCAAAAACTTCCTTGGGGGCCCGCCGGGCCCGCACGCAAACAAAATCGCAACAGGCGTTTGAAGGCCAGACGTCCGGCCGGAACGAAATTCGAAGAGGCCACGACAACCGCTGAAAGGTCTAAATCCGAGGTCGTCGCCGTCGCCGTCGTCGTCGCCCGAGAACCACCCAACAGGTTCCCAAAAGCTTCCCTGGGGGCCCGCACACAATAAAAATGGCAACAAGCGCTTGACGGCCAGACGTCGGCCAGAATGCAATTCGAAGAGGCCACGACAACCGCTGAAGGGTCTTAATCCGAGGTCGTCGTCGTCGTCGCCGTCGCCGTCGCCGTCATCGTCGTCGCCGTCCTGAGGCCCAGTGTTTTCGCGGCTCTCTGCTCCCCCTCCCCCGCCACAATCGTCCCGAGGAAGTCTTCAATACAGACGGTTTCGGGGAGCTGCTCGGGTCCGACGAGCTGTTATGTTACGGCTTCGCCAGTTGCATCCCTGTACTGCGATAGTGTTGATTCAACCCACAGGTACACACACCAGTCAGCTATAATGCTGGGATCAGCGCGTGCGAGAAAGGCGAGCAGTGGCAGCGGGCCCTGGCGCTGTTGAGTGAGATGCGGGAAACGAAGCTGGAGCCCAATGCCATCAGCTACAGTGCTGGGATCAGCGCGTACGGGTCCTGGCTCTGCTGAACGTCACCGGCTAACATAGGTCATGGTAATGGATGAACGCGCAGTATGAAAGCACATTTTTGAAACAAAAACGATGATTTACTAAATCGAGAAACGGATGTATTAAATTGTGCCACTTAATCAAAACAAAACAAGACGTCATTTAGCAAACGCAGAAACCGGTATACGAAATTCGAAAACGGATGTCCAACATCCAGGGACGTTTGACTAAATTTCAGATCCAAGCATTACCATGACCAGATTGGTTCGATCAGAGCGAGATGCGGGCGGCGAAGCTGGAACCCAATGCCATCAGCCACAGTGCCGGGGCCAGCGCGCGCGAAACGCGAGCAGTGGCAGCGGGCCGTAGCGATGCTGAGCGCGACGTGGGGGGCGAAACTGAAGCTCGATGTCCTCAGCTACGACGCCGGGATCAGCTCGCGCGAGGAGGGCGCGCAGTGGCAGCGGGCCCTGGCGCTGCTGAGCCAGATGCGGGAGGCGAAGCTGGAGCCCGACGTCGCCAGCTACAGCGCTGGGATCAGCGCGTGCGAGAAGGGCCAACAACGGCGCCGGACTTAGGCGCTGATCAGCGATACGCGCGAGACAAAGCTGAAGCCCAATGTCATTGCAGACTACAACGCCGGGATCAGCGCGCGCGCTCGAAGGGCATGCAGCGGCAGCGGGCCCTGGCGCTGCTGAGCAAGACGCAGAAGGCAATAACGGCTAAACACCATCGGGCACAGCGATGGGACCAGCGCTGGCGAGACCGGCGAGCAGTGGCAACGAGCTTCGGTGCAGCTGAATGAGATGCGCGCGACAATGATTGAGCCGAATAGGTTAGTCTGGCATTCCACGCGAGCGCTGGAAACACAGATGACCCAGCTAGGCGTGCCGGGCAGGCTCGCAATCGCGCGCTCGCCGCAGGAAATCGGGGGCACTTTAGCGCCAACCATGTACGACGTGGCAGTGTAATTGCCGCAGCCAAGATTGCTGCCCTCCCCCTGGCAACGCATGGCGCAGCGGGCGTTGGCGCCGCGGGTGGCCCGACCTGCTTCGCCGACGCCGCGAGGTCTCACGCGTTCGAAAGCGGCGCCCTCGCCCAGAGAGATTTTCGCGAAGTGAAGCCGGGCGTCTCCGCTGACCGCGCGAAGCAGGCCATGGGCGCGCTGCGCCTGATCAGTGGAGGCCGCTCGAGACCGCCGCCAGTTCCGACGAAGCTCTGCCTCGATTTGCTAGAAGATATGAAGAGGTGCGCCGCTGCTGCGAGTCGCTGGGCGCGGAGAGTTGCGCGCGGCCACGCGCGCCAGCGTCGGCGGCAGCATCTCCACCTGCTGAGTCCCAGGGCAAGGGGGGCGAGCGGCGACGGCGGGCTTTAGCGCTGCTCAGCACGATGCGGGAATCGCAGCTATAGGCTGGAGCCCGACGCCATCAGCTCCATGCGCGCGGGGCGCGGTGGACGGCCCGCCGAGCCGATGGGCGGCCGCCAGAATTTCAGATCCGCCATGTTAGCTTGCCGCATTGCTTGAGAATTTGCCTTGAACGTTCGCGCTAGACAGACGCAACTCTGGCGTCGGCGCTCGCGAGGGGGGCGAGCTGCGGCGACGGGCGCTGGCGATGCCCAGCGAGAAGTGGGAGGCGGGGCTGGAGCTAGACGCCATCAGCTACAGCGGCGGGATAAGCGCGCGCGAGAAGGGCGAGCAGCGGCAGCGGGCGCCGGCGCCGCCGAGCGAAACGTGGGCGGCGAAGCTCGAGCCCGAAGTCATCAGCTATATCGCTTGGATCGGCGAGCGCGAGAAGGCAGGCAATGGCAGCGGGCTCTGTCGCTGCTCAGCGAGAGGGGGGAAGTGGAGCAGGTGCCAAACGCCGTCAGCTGCAGCGCTGGGATTCTGGCTTTCGATAGAAGCGGGCAAGGGCAACGGGCGATTTTGTTGCTCAAAGAGACGCGGGATGCAAATGTTGAGTCCAATGTTGGTTTAGTGATGCAATACTTATTTCGATGCATGGGCAAAAGCATCGCAGGCACAATTTCAATCGTGGGGTGCGGGGATGGCAAGTAGCAGTAGCATGCTTCAGGGGGATGGGCGAAATCGAGGATGGAGCCCACGCGCGCGGGCTGCAATGCTGGGGTCAGCGCGCGCGAGAAGGGCGAGCAGCGTCAACGAATGCTGGCGCCGCTGGTGGAGATGCGGGGGGCGAAGCTAGAGCCCGACGTGATCTGCGACAGCGCTGCGAGAAGAGCAAGAAGCAGTGGCAGCGGAAGCTGGCGCTGCTGAGCGAGGCGTGGAAGGCCGAGCTGGTGCCCGACGTCAGAACATCTCCACGTGCCCCTGGGGGCTCAGCGCCGCGCGCTGCTGCTCGAAGATCTGCAGCGAGTTCCAGGGCCTGTAGGGGCGTCTGCCGATGGCCCCGCGCGGCAGCCCGCGCGCGCGCCCTTGTCGCGCGGGGGCGTCGTCTCCGAGCGCGCGCCGCCCCGGCAGCTGCGGCCGGGGCGCCGCGCCGCGGCCGAGGAAGCCCGGCGGCCCCTGAGACCCGTGCCGGGGAGGTCCGGGGCGCGCCAGGCTGAAAGGTTTTTTTTTCTTCCAAACCCCTCTTTCCTCCTCGCCCC